TTTAAAAAAAAAAAATGAGTATTCATAATGTTCTTTTTTTTTTAAAGATTTTATTTATTTACTTATTTGAAAGAGCGAGAATGAGTATTCATAATGTTCTTTATAATTTTACAGATTACACAGGAAAGATCTAAAGCACTTGCATTTAAGCCATTTTTGTTATTTAGTTAACTTAGTTGCTATTAACACCTGTGCTTAAGAAAATTATAAGTGGCTTACATTTTGTATCTTTTACTGTATGATATTTATCTCATTTAATACACATTGTTTTTATTGAATAAAACACATATTTTCAATATCTAAATACCTGACAAAATTTGTCTTGAAATAAGAGCATTTGGGGAGTATAAAACAATTAGATGTATTTTTTTTTACCTAATTTTAAATTAAGCATTGATACAATAAAATTTTATCCTAAGATAAATTTATAATATGAATTTAATCCGATGATGACTTTTCATTTTGGTTTTATGTCTACAGAGTACTTTGAACACAACAGTTTTGAACAGTTTTGCATCAACTATTGCAATGAAAAACTTCAACAATTTTTTAATGAAAGGATTCTGAAGGAGGTAATTGCCATTACAATTTAAATTTAAGAACTGCACTAAGCTATTTTAATTTTAAGGAACAGAGACATGCTGCAGTTACCCTGATTGATGGGGTATAGTGTAAGGTGGTTCAGGGGATCAGGATGTCTAGGACAGGCCCCCAGTGGCTTAGCTATTGCTCAGGCTCATCAGAAGTGTTAATTGTACATCAAAGCTTAGGAACCCAATAAAAACTCTAATAAGCACCTCAGAAGTAAACATCTATTGCTTCTTACTAGTGACTTTTGCTAGACTTGGAATTTTGCCTATTTCTTTTTCTGAGTCTGTTGCCTCTACTTCTGTCCCTGCCAAACAACTTCCTACTCTCATCCCTGACATTGGCATCTCCCAGCCTTCCTCTGTGTCTCTCTGCTTTTACCCACTCTGCTACCTGTTCACCCTTCCTTTGTGTCGCAGGAAAGCCACCAAATCAGGGGATTCGGTGTGGCCATTGGCCTGGAGTGCCTCTGGCCAGTGCTCTCTGCCAGGCTACTGTGTGCACTGCCCAGTGTGAATGGTGTGCCTATGCTACTTCCTAGTACATAGCTGTGGGCGTGGCCTGCAGTCACAGTCCCAAGCCTAGGGAAGTTACAGTTCTTTCCAGAATAAGTAAGAAGAGGTTTGGATCACTTGATTTGTGATTAGGCTCACCATTCTTACCTTGTATTTGAATTCTCCAGTATTTTCCTACCAGTACCTTTGGCTTTCCCTCCTTTCTGAGCTATTTGAAATATGTTTTACTGAATGTAGATAGTAGAGTTACAGGGAACTCAGAAATGATCTAGTTCAGCCTTTTATTTTACAAATGAAGAAACTGATTACCAGAGCAGTTTACTGACTATTGCAGGTCTGAACCCACCTTCCAGCTGCTGGCCCACAACCGTATTCTCCTCATGTTAGTACTGCTGTTTTCCAAGTTCTGTTTTCCACTGTATCTGGACTTGAAATGTGAAATATTCTTTTCTTTTCCCATTCCATTAATCTTTTCCCACATTTTTATTTTATTTTTGTTTTTATGGGTTTCCCAGCACTTTCCCTTTTAGACTTTTTACTTGTATACTATAGTTTAAGCCAATTCTGGCATAAACGAACAGGTAGACCAAATACTTATCAATTAAGATATTTAGTCTGAAAATGTTTTATCCAGAAACATTAATTCTTCCATTACTATTTTAAGTTGTACATGTGTGCTTTTCACTTAACATGCCCTGATTCTTCCCTTCTACGCCAGCCCAGCAAGCTTTATCTAGAAACATGACAAGGAGACAGTATCTTGATACGTTTATTTTTATAAGAGTTCTTTAAAATAAATGTTTGGATTTCAAATTCAGATTGGGTCTTAAATGGACACTGACTTCTAAAATGATAGAAATCTTTTCTAGTATATCTTGTGGGAGGAAATATTTAAACATTTGGGGAAAAAAGATAAAAATACATGTCAACCTAAGCTCATTGCATTGCTCACCCATCTTTGATAAAATCCTTTTTTTTTTTTTTCTTTAAGGAGGTACCAGACTTACATCTAGGAACTCAACTTTAATTTGTAAATTATTCTTCCAAATTACATTTACTTTTTCCGGTGTTATATTCCTTGTATGTATCACTGTGTAGCTAGTAGAGCCCATTTGCAATTAATTGCTGTTTCTTTGATTTTAGTGCCTGTCTGTACATGTTAAAAATCTCTCCTGTCTTTGGACAACGATTTAGGACTATTGAGAATATAGAAGAGAGAAATTTCATGTCAAAGGGAGCTAGTTTGTTTAGCTGTTCTTTAAACTTTTAAAAATTATCACAGCAAGTTCTTACGTTCTTCTGTGTATTCCAGGGGTTGGTATACTATGGCCTTTGGGACAGATCCAGCAGGCTGCCTATTTATGCAAATGAAGTTTTATTGGAACACGGCCCTGCTTCTTTATTTACTGTTACCATGGCCGCTTTTGTGCTGCAGTGGCTTAATTGAGTAGTTTTTGACAAAGACAATATGGCCCACAGCTGAAAATATTTACTATCTGTCCCTTTACAGAAAAAGTTTGCTGACTGCTGGTCTATTCTTCTAATAAGTTTGACTTTAAAATTGAAAAAGATATTTCAAAGCCCTGGCCTTTCCTTGAGTTTGAACAGATCTCCATATGTGTTTGTAGTTGCTCTGCGTATTTCAAGAAAAGTGTGCTTATCTGTAGGCGGGAATATTTCCACATATGTAAATCATATGTTGGCCATAATTTCTGACTTTACATTGCTTTAGGGGCAGGGATTTTTCTTCCCTAATGTTTTGTAAGTGTCCTTAGCCCCTGAAGTAGTTGGTATGAGCCTTTGTACTCTGGACTAATTAATAAAAGTTATAATCAGAAGTGGCACAAAAAAAGCCACTTCATATCATACAGTATTTCCATATCTATGATTATGATTATTTCATTTTAGGAACAAGAACTCTATCAAAAAGAAGGTCTAGGTGTTAATGAAGTACATTATGTGGATAATCAGGACTGTATAGGTATGTGTTTTTTATCCCACTTTTGGGAAATATGGGAAGATATAGTACATGCTTTTACTAGTAATTTTTCTGTGCTCCATGATTGATACTACTGGTTATGGGACTTGAAACTGTGGTATTTGAGAGAAGTTTTACTTCTCTAGTACTGCCAGGGAGTTTTTTTTTTCCTAGGAAGGCATCAAATTCAGCTGTGTTGAAAGTGTTCCTAAAATTTCTTCTATTTACTGTGATGTTAAACAGCCAACATGTGAGTAAGTTAAGACAGGAACTAAATTGCTCAAAGTAAAGGAATAAATTATCCCGCCTGGGGAAGCCCATACGTTAGCCAGGCTCCAAGTGAGGTTTTTCAGTGTTTGGCTCTGCTCTTCTGCAGTTCCCTTATTTCTGTTCTCTGCATTGGCAACACCCTCTGACCGGTTGCAAGTTAGCTTCACAAGTTTCATGTGTCATATCCAGATAATGCTGTGCAGCCAGGAGAACGGGGTCTCTGTTTTTATCAGTGGGGAAACCTTTCCCTGTCACCCTCCAGCTTAGTGCTCAATCTTCCTTTTCTTTCCTACCTCATCACGAAAATCAACTGTTGGGCAGACTTTGTTTTGAAAACTCCATTTGACAATTGAGTCAGTAACTCATGTGCTAGATTTGGAGAAGATTTATAATAATAATAATAATAATCATCATGATGATGATGCTTTACATTGGTACAACTTTCAGAAGCATTTTAAGTCCTAGCTGGCTCACTGAGCATTTCCTTTACACATCAGCCTTTCTTAGATCTCTGTGCCTTTGATTTTGTGATTTGGTATCTTGGCTGGAACTCCTCCCCTTCTGTTTATCTTGCAGCCCACTTTCATATCCTTTATATCTATCAAAATACTCATTTATAGCTTAATTCAGCTGCCCCTCCCATCATCACCAATTGTCTAAAAAGCATCATTCTCTGAACAGTGCAGTTAGAATTTTGATTTCTCTTCATATGTCCTATAGCTTTTAGAGTCTGTCCCATTTAATAGTTTTTATATACTGTTTTTAAGCACTTTATATTTTATAGTTATTTTGTACAAGCAGGAAATTCAAACAACATGAATGGAAGGAGCATAAAAATGTGCTGTTACTGAAGTTTTGCTGGAAAACATTTGAATCAGTATTGAAAAGTAGTTTTAAAAGCTCTGCATGCAAAAGCTTCTGTAGTTTTACTTCATTTTGAATGTATGTATCATATGGAGAAGAGGGATTTTTGGTTCTTTAGCCTTTCTCATCCAAGCTTGCAAATAGAATGGTTATTACATTAATCATATGTATATGGCATTGTTTTTCTAAAATCTGTATTAAATAGTTTCCCCTGCTATCTGAAAGTAGAGCATTTTTATGAAACCTTTCATAAGCCAAAATGGTGTAAATCAGAGGAGCAATTACCATTTGTAAGTGTGAAAATTCTCTTTGGATTTCTTTTAACTAGTGAAAACAGGTATTAATGTAGGTCTTTTGTAAAAGCAGAGTGGCATAAAGCAATATTTTCCATAGTGGAAGAAACCTGTATATGATGTTACTTTCTGATAAATTGCCAGATTTGAAATAAAATACCTGCTTTCTCTAGCCTGTGAGGATACTTATATAATCATCTGTTATATTGCTTCTGACTTGTCCTTTAAATTTGTGATTAGTAAATTGTTCACATATCTTTAAAATGTTTTTACCCTATCATATTTTGATGTTTTTGGAATAGATTTAATTGAAGCAAAATTAGTGGGGATATTGGATATTTTAGATGAAGAAAATCGCCTTCCCCAGCCAAGTGATCAACACTTTACATCTGCAGTTCACCAGAAGCACAAAGAACATTTCCGACTCACTGTGAGTTTACCATTCCAACATTGAGACTCTGTGGTGGGAAGAGAAACCTTTAGAAAGATGTACTAGATGTTGCATATTAAATAATTAGAAAAAAAGTTATGTGGGGCTGAGAGCAACTCTAATTTATCCAGCACAGCATCTTCTGTAGGTAGGCACTTAATTTATACATGTATATTTTGGATGATGATGATCTATCTAATGAAGGCCCTTTTTAGCTGGATGGAAAGTGCATTTTATCTATCTAAAATGTACAAAATGGTTTGCCTGCTGTTTTTATGTTCTTCCTTTTAGCAAAGTGGCTACCAGTTGTTTTTTTCCCTGTCATGTGACCTTGATCATGTTCCAGGGGTTAGAATCTAGAATCATAAGCAGCCACCAGTCTGCACATTTGCAAGACCAGTAATAAAGTTCATGGCTTAGAGTCTGACTGGAGCAAGCAATCCATATGAGATAATGGGTAGCCAGTTTATTTTGATGTTCTTTCCTAGGGAGTTTTTTTTTTTTTTTTT